CGACTATTACAAAAGTTGAGAACCGTTATTATAATGGTAAAAGATGTCAAATTAGAAGAAAACATAGCACTGTTAGAGATTGTATCTCTAAAGGAGCTGTGAGAGTGGATCATGTACGCACTGATGAGAACTTAGCAGATCCTTTGACGAAAGGATTAGCTAGAGAGAAAGTCCATAATACTTCCAAAAAGATGGGACTAATGCCTATAAAGCAATTAGTTACTCATGATGGTAACCCGACCTAAATGACTGGAGATCCCAAGACTTAGGTTCAATAGGTAATAACAAGTTGTGAGTAATATGAAAATGATCATGCAAGTAAAGCATAAATCCTGAAGTAATGAGAGGATGAGATGATAGAAACTCTTAATGAGATCTATACTCTATATGAGGGAGTACCTAGGCTACAGGAGTACTCTTGATAGATTCACCTATGTGACTGTGAAACTGAGGCCGGTTCCTATGGAATTTCGAGGCAGAATTCCTAGAGCATTCACTAAACCGGGATACACGTGCAGGGCCACTAAAGCACGGGCTACAAGAATACACCTTACGGAAAGGTTGTGTGCGGGTCTGATGTCCGAGATAGAGTTCAAGACAATGGTGTCACTCTTGTTGAATCAGAATCCTACTCGCTACGCTAAGGTTCAAGTCGTAGACACCTTTGCTTATGCTCAATCTTAGAAACGTCTGACGTACTTCTAAAATCTCTTTTAAATTCAAGTGGGGGAATGTTGGAATTATATTAATTAAAGTGGGAATTGGAAAGATTTATTGACAATTAATTGGGCAATAAATGAACACAAGTAAGAACTAATATAGAAGTGAATTTGAAAAGATTCATTTTAGTCCCACATTGAAGTGAATGGAAATATTAGTAGTGTTTATATATTCCAACTTGGTCAATTAGGTTGGGCCCTAAAGGGCACCCAATTTTGTGAAAGGAGTGAGGACACACCCATGACCAACAAGACACACGCGCGCGCGCCGCCGTCTGTCCGGCTCGGCTCGGTTCGGTCCGGTCCGGTCTAGATGAATTATTTTTTTGGACCCGAATTTATAGAATTTAATTATCATTAATTAATTAATATAATTCGGTGGAAAATTAATTAATAATAAATATTAATTAATTAAGAAAATAATAGATCCAGTCTTCCACGAATTTCTCATTCTCCCACCATTTTCTCCACTCACTACGAATTTCTCCCCACTCAGGTGCAGGTAGCTGCCTATAAATACAGGGTAGAAATTCAGTAGTGAGTACATCGGATTTCACAAGTTCACACGAATTTTGATTTCCTTCTTCTCTCCCTTAATTCTCTTCATCTAAAATCTTTCTTTTCTTGTTTTTCCGACTGGTTATTTTCACCCGATACTAACTTAGAGAGGTGTATTTCTAGAGCGATTTATCAGTGTGCAATTGATAATCGTAAGTTAATTGATAATCGTAAGTTTTTTGAACGGGTTGTTTTATCCTGGAGGCGTCGTCGTAAATCGACTGTTTTGCATAATTTGGCAGTCGATTTACTGTTTTGCATAATTTGGCAGTACGGCGAAACGTCGTAAATCGACTGTTTTGCATAATTTGACAGTACGGCGAAACGTCTTAAAGAAAGCGACCTAGTACGCGACTCGTCCCGATAATTTCCTTGTGCCAAACTTAATTTTTTAAAATCCGAAAACAACATAAACATTTATCATGGTCAAACATGTGGAACGGTGTTAAATGATGATATAGAGAAGGATTAAAGTGGCTTAAACTGATTGGATGGATTAATCATGAAGTTTAGCACTGTTATTTACTGCTCAAGTTATTTGAGTCAGTTAGAATTAGCTTGTAACAAACTTAACATAATTTCAAAATTTTGTTATAGATATTCATGTGGTTGATAGTGCGTAGTATGTAGCTGCATTGTAACTATATATGATCATGTAACCTCATTGTAAAGATATACGTTGAATAATACTCTCAATTTTCTTCTTCTCTAAGCTTTCTTCAATCCCATTTCCAACGAGTTTTTGATTCTCAACAACAAAGTTTCCTTAACAAGTGCTACATATTGTTAAAGCACAAGCTTCAGAATGCTATGATTATTTTCAATGTGGTCAGTGCCTTGGGTCTTTGTAATTTGAATGTTATATGCTTGTGAAAATGCTAGAACGAGCATATGAATCTGTGGCAACTCAATGCTTATTTTTCGTTCCTTCTTGCGATTGTAAAGAGAATCTAACAAGCTTTATGAATACCTAATACTTGGCTCCAAGCTTTTAAATGACTGTTACAACATAAGCTATTCTAAATATGGCAGAGAACTGTGATCAAATGAAGCCGATGCAGCGTCAATTAGTGTTCGAGGCATAAAAAACCTTGATGTTGTAGGCTCAAAGGGTCCACATTGCAGGTGCATATCTTGTATTAAAACCTGGTTTGCTTCCTTTATGAATGCAATTTACTTTAGTGTTTTTGTACATTATTTTTATATATGTCCAATATATGCTTAAACTCTATGAAGCACGGATACGGACACCAGATACGACACTGATACTGAACACGTTGATACCTATAATAATTTCAAATAATGAAGATACCTATAATAATTTCAAATAATGAATAAATTGAACGTAATCACAGGTGACATTATCCAACACGGATACACGTTTCTTCAGAAATATCAGTGATACGGAGCTTAAACATCACAGCTAAAGTTTGATACAATTCACTTGCCACGACACACACATGTTTATCTTTCTCAATTCTTAGAAAACTTTGTTTGCACATGTTGGCAAAAGGAGTTTTTCATTATACTGAAATATCCTGATTACAATATAAACATAATAGGTGATTTTGGCTAGAAGGAAATTTTACTAAAGGCATGATTGAACTGACTAATTTGAGTACATTTTTCGCCATAAACACTGGTAAGATTTTTTATGAGTTTAACCACTTATGACCACCAAAACCAATAATACTAAGAAAATTCTCATGCATATCATAATTTTTGTGGTCAATATTGGTACAACTAAAGGAACTTGTTAAGTAATTTTTGTGGCCAACGTTCTATTCCTAAAAGAAATCAAGTAACACTAATGATTAAGAAGAATATCATAAATGTTTACTGATAAGTCACAACAATACGGTCCCAATTGCATGTGCCATTATTTCATATACGGTCCTTCCTTTTGCCTTTCAAGAATTTATTACAAAATTTGACTTGTGGCCCTTAGTTGACAGAATACAACTTAATACCAAAGTTTCCTTAATTATTTGCAAAAGATATCATAATTAGGTTTACTAGGTTTGTCTATTTTGTGTCTCAATTACTAGTGTCTGTCTGCTATAGGTCTAGTCATGTGGTGATATACAATGGTTGAGAGATTATTGAATCACCACACATGTACATTAGTACATTACTTCAAATGCAGAGAGATATGAAAAGTTATGTGAGTGTGACCACATTTATTTATTAATCCCATTTCGTTCGTAATGATTTTTTTTTAAAGATTTATTGAATAAATAATGTATCTTATATTTATTTGTAATAATAACCGTACAATACCTATTACTAGCTATGAAGATAGACAAACATTCGATGCGATAATGATGCAAATACATAAACATTAATAATAATTTAAGAAATGGAAGTTTCATATTAGAAAATTGTGTGACTACAAGAGAAGGATATATTGCTAGTATCTTGAATTTGGTGAGACTTGAATTTGCATGCTGGTTCATATTAGAATGGGCATACTGGTTGGTTTTTGGCATGATATCATTAGCTCCTTATACAGTCATAAACCTTGCCTAATATGATGCACCTTGCCCAAATATCTTACCCTATTCCTTAATAATAATGAATTTAGTGTCAAAGAATGACTCATAATATTTTTTTTGGTTTTCACCACAGGACCAACTAATCCGGTCCGGTGGTCAGTTCTGGTATCAAATGGTTTCAGTCTCATTCCGATCACAATTGCGGAAAATCGAAGTCCAACATCAATCACTATTGGACCAACCAACGATTGGTACTCATAATTTATTTTGATTGATCAGATTTTGTTTTTGTTCATGAGATGGTTTTTACTAATACAAGCATATTGGAGATTGTCTAAATTCATTAAAAGACCATTTGTTCCAACTTCTTGATGCATAAATGATAGAACAATGACTGTCTCTTCATGTTGTTGAAAGAATAAGGCTTTTGTATGTGATTAATCTGTAGTAACTAATGGAATCTCTTCTACATTCTTGCAATAGTACAATAATTGGCCCATAACATTTTCTTCAAATTACTATACAGTCAGCACAAATTTTTATACAATCTCTATAAAAGTCTATCAAATTTTCTGACATGTTAGGTCCAAAGCTGACACTGTTGTAACGTGCTACCTATTGCTAGAAGTTTGTGACTTGTAATTTTAATTTTAACCATGGAAAATTAACATTTCTCTCTTTTTTGAAATAGGAGTATGGAGGTCCTGGTATGGCACAATCTTGGTGGAGCCATTCATGGATATACTTGGCTACTGTTATGGGCACAAAAGTATGTTGTCATGAAGTGAGGAGTCTGAAACTCAATCAAAATTTTAAACCTCGAATCGCTCTTTTGGTATTATCTATATGGTTCAAAATTGCAGTTGTATTCGTAGTTACGTTACAAATCTTTATTCTTTATGTTACTTTTATATTACGGTAAACCGAAATTTAAAACCTTGACCTAAAAGAAAGATGTGGAAGTGTAACTATATCAAGAACAAAACTCACTTCTAATAGATTTTTACATTCATTACTTTTCTTTTCCATTTTTGTTGTTGCTATACAAACATGTTACTCATTCTAGCATGGTTTTGCAGCTAGAATGTATCATTGTTAATGGAAGAGAAATCTTGGTTCAAACCTCAGTATTCCCATTTACCAGGAACCATCCACGAGGAACATCCAACATTATAGCGGAAGTTATCTAATGTTCTATCAGCAATTTCCATACCAATGGTTTTCATTATTAAACTTTTGGTGACTCTGTGATGCTTTGTAAAGAAGGGCGCCAAGATTTTGACCTCTGTACAGCAGCAGGATTTGTAGACCCTCCTCTTTGCTTGTGTCTCTCTGTTCTGCCTCCCTGGAATTCAATATGCACTTTAGCATCAATATTTCAATACTGACAAAAGCATTTTGAACAGTAAACAGGTACGACAACATGTTAATTGTTCATAAGCTGTTTTCAACTTATTTTAATAAGCAGGTCGCTTATTAGAACAACTTATGCTTAATAAAAATAGTTTGAATATCTTTTAGCTTTTTTTATAGAAATAACTTATAAATAACCACTTATATGATATAAACGTTTATGTTATAAACGCTTAATTAGTTTCGAGTAACAAAATTACTCGGATGGTTTTAAATTGTAGTTGTGGTCAAAATTGGCGCCGATGCCCGAATTTAGAACCATTTGGCTAGAGTATTATAAAGTTCATGACCAAATACCAATGCTTTGACAAGGATGGAAATAATTGCATGTCATATTGGTATCAATATGAAATACATCAACCATGGTTCATCCCTTATAGACCATGTGCCATGTGATATCATAACAAGTTCTTACTATATTATTATTATTCATAGAAGAAAAGGACTATTGATATTATAGAATATGAGATATACCTGATATGTGTTTCCTTGGTCAGATTCCTCTCCTTTCTTTGTCTCATAACCTGACAGAACTGCATCTTCCTGTGTTTTCTTACTCTTTGCATGCTTCTTTGCCTTCAACACCTTCATAACCTCTAAAACCACAAACACAAAGAAGAAACTCAACACAAAGATCTTACACAGATATGGTTCTAAGTTTGCAGAGAAAGAAACATATATACCTTGATTAGTGATGAGCCTATAAGCATGACCAAGATTAAGAGTCTCATTAGGCCTAAGCAACTTAACACGAGTAAACTTAACAGTCTTCTGTTCTTGATTCTGCTCTTCCGGTAAAACAGGTAACGGAATAATCAAAGAAACATAATGCCCTGGGTTTGTTTTCATAACCTCACTAACAGTAACTGGCCAGTACAGCCTATCTATCTTCCCACATGGATGTTGAATCACAAGAACAGCAGCTTCCACAGCTTGACAATTTCCCATGGCAAAGATAAGAGAAAATGGATGAATGAATGAAGGAAAGAAAAGTCTCTATCTATACAGCTTGTAGTAGCACCCCACAAATATAGGAAAATCAGGTTGGAAGAGATAGTCTTTGTTTTTGTTCTCTAATAATAATAACAAGGCTTCTCTTCACAGCAACTAAATGTCATCTTATATATGGTTGGCAAGTCAATACTTTATTTTTTTCAAACAAATTCACACACATCTAGACAACAAGTGGAGTTTGCTCATTCAATTTTAGCCTCCTACATGTCATGCAATTTTTTACTATTTAAATTGTACTTTTTTAAACTAATTTTTTTCTCTTATTTATACATATTTTCTAATTTATTCTATAATAAATATTGGTACAAACTTATACGCAATTATGATACAATATTTTCGGCAGTTGTGTGTAAAAAGTACTTAATTTTTATAAATAAAAAATATAAGTTATAAATTTGACATAAAATAAAAATACCCTTAAATTATGAATATTACTATTCTATTAGATTTAATATGCGGGTCAATTTTTAAAAAATTGAATTAAACCTTTTTTAATTGAATTATATATTGGTATTATTATTTTGAGATTTTAGTTTAATGGGCAGGCATGAATAACACCGTCACCGGCCTCTAGAAGTGGTGTAAGTGCCACGTGGAGAGATATTGAGTGTGAAGACAATTGGACGGTACTGTTTTTAAGCATTGTATTTAATTGCATTTATAACAAGGTAAGACAAATTGGGTCTTAACTCTTACGTATGTTACTAGCTATAGAAACTACTCCATCTGATATTTTATTATAAAACTCTTATTACGCAAAAAAATTGTTAAAGTAGGTACTATTTATAAGTTAATATTATAAATAAATATTTATTCCTCCGTCTAACAGTAGCTATTCACTTTCTTATTTTATTTGATTCAAATTATTTATTTATTTAAATAAAAATGTGATATTTATTATTTTATTTTAATAACGTATTTTATTTATTGTATTTTAATTCATATAACTTCTCGTTGTCTATCAATAAAATCATTTTAATAAATAACACTCATTTTATTATTAAAATCAACACAATTATTATTATTTTAAAAAAATGTAAAAATTTCAAAAAAATATCTATTATAAAACAGAGAGTATATTTTTAAATTATAGATATCTTTGATCTTAAATCAATATTAAATTTATTAATTACTTAATGAATTTAAATTTTTTATTTATAACAGTGACTTAAAAAATATGTCACTTCTATATAATATTTCACATAATTAATAATATTACTGAAAATAGTGGTTGGAGTATCTCAATTAATATCGGCTAATTAAATTAAGTAGTATAAATTATTGTTTCAAAATTTAATCTACAACGTTTAGATATTGATATAACTAAATTGTTAATATTTATAAATTAATAATTTATTAAAAATATTAATATAATTTAAAAAGAAAAACAAATTTCATTGTTTCAAATGTAAATTTAATATGAATACTATTAAATGAAAATCATTAATATATCTTGTAAAAGTAATATATATATATATATATATATATATATATATATATATATATATATATATATATATATATATATATATATATATATATATATATATATATATATATATATATATATATATATATATATATATATATATATATATATATATATATATATATATATATATATATATATATATATATATATATATATATATATATATATATAATGTCTTGCAAATTGTATAAAAACATAATTTCCATTATTAAATTTCATAAGATTCTTTTGAGTGGACAGTAGACAAGGCACCATCTTATCCGCATTACAGAAACTTGCATGTCCTGTTTGTTTGGTTTTGCCTAGAAAACACTTGATAAATAAATAAAGTATAAAAAGAAATGGAGAAATAAAGCACTTCCAGTAATTCTGAATTAGGATATACATGTATTACCAAAATTTTCACTTCCAACTTTAAGGAACCTTTCTTTGGTACATGTCAGTGCTGAATTTCTAGTGTCATGACATAGATGCCACCATTATATTCCGTGGGAATATTATAAACTATTTGCATAACTTTTTTTGAATGCTTCAAAGTCCAATGCAATTCAAAGTGACCTATTTCATGCCAAATTATTGATATTGTTATTCATATATCATTAATGATTGTATATAATATATGTGTGCAACTATTGCTGGTGAACTTTATTTGGATATTAGGCTCTTTAAGCTTTATTATTTCACTACTTTTGAAAGTGGGTTGGACTAAATCATTGTTAACCATTTTTGTAATTATCAAAGTATTAGCATTGATATTAAAGAAATATTTTTAGACGGCTGCATGAGTCTTTATCATAATGTAATTGGGGGCAAACTTTAAGGTCTATAATTAATTAGTTTGGAGTTAATTACAAGCAAATGCATAGCTCACTCAAACTAATCATAGATTTTGAGAATACTTATAGATTTATGAAACAAAGTTTTGTTCTTATCTTAAGTAGTAGTTTGACCACAAGAATTGAAGATGTTGCACACTAGTCTAGTGACGTATATTAAATTTTAAGGACCAAATTTTAAACTTTAATATTTCTTTTATGTTTAACTTTGAGATCTTTTAACTTATTTAGCGACGAAATTTTTTATAAATTAGTTGCAAAATTCATAAATCAGTAGCAAAATGAAAAATTCATTGTTAATTAAATTAAAATGACTTTGACGCTTTGAAGAATAAATAAATTAATATAATTTTTTTTCAAGTTTAGGCATATCATGGATATTAACCAATTTTAAATGTATAATTTGGAAATTCATTTTAGTTTCTTAATTTAATAATTTTTATATATTTTATATGTTAATTTTGAAATTCATTTTAGTTTCTTAATTTAATAAGTACTATATTGTCCTTAATGGTTCAAACGGGGTACATTATTCTTTTTCATTAATCAGTAACGGATTTAGGATGAATTTTTATGTTTTTGTATCGATAATTAGATGAAAAATAACTAATATGGTACATTTTGAAAAGTGAAAAAATCAATATGATACTTTTTAAAATTAATGGATCACAATCATCAATATGGGAAAAAAAATTTTGAAGAGCAGAGGAATCAATATGATACTTTATAAAGCTTTTTTTTTCTTCATATCAGTAACAAGAAGAAAGAAAGATTTGCATAACGGAGAAAGAAGATGAGTTAGTTCTCGCAATTTTAAAATCTTAAAACCCTAAGTAATTGCATAGAAAGAAAATGTTAAATCTTATAGTCGAGGTCAAACACCGTAAATCCCAATTTCAAAATAATATATATATATATATATATATATATATATATATATATATATATATATATATATATATATATATATATATATATATATATATATATATATATATATATATATATATATATATATATATATATATATATATATATATATATATATATATATATATATATATATATATATATATGTCCTGCAAGTCTGAATGCCCTTGCATAATGATTGACCCATATTATTATTTTTTTGCATGGTGGTGTTGTACCCCAAAATTTGACCAACTCTTTTCTTGTACTTGACTTGTGTTTCATTTCATCTTTAGCATTTGCATTTGCATAACATTGTCCTTTGCAGGGGATCAAGAGAGGTGTGTCATTTAAGAGGAGACTTTCAAGGGTTTCAAAACTCAAGCAGGAGTGTTTATTCAAGTCATCAAGTGCTTATAATCATCAGGAAGTGGTCAAAGCCCTTTGAGAGAGAAGATTGAGGTGTGTTGTTTATCTCCTATCTTGGAGGTCAGCAGAAGATCATCAGGGTCTTATAAGTTCATTATTGTGGATAAGATGTGTTTGAGAAGCTCATTGAGTGCTTTGGAAGTCATTGTGAAGCTTGTCTAGGCATTTATTTCATCTGTAAGAGGTCATAGTAAAAGGTTGTGCACCTAGGGTTTCATCTGGTCAACTCAAGGACAACTGAGGACTTAAGAAAGTTTGAGACTTGGTTTTAAGTCATTGAAGTCATGGGAAGTTATGTTGAGACATCTAGGATGTCATGTCAAGCTCAAATTAAGAAGAATCAAGGTTCAAAAGGTTACTAAATTAGGGTTTCAGAGGATCTTAGTGTAAAATCCCCTTCTTTAGTGCCTAACTTCAAGGACAAGTTACCTCATGATACATGTTCAATCTTATTTTCTTGCAAACATGAAACTTGTAAGGCATGTTCTAAGCTTTCTTTTGAGTACTAGAACTCATCCATTGGGTTTGTGGAACTCAAGTTATGGTGCCAACAAGTTAGAGGTCTCAGATGAACATATTTTTGGTCAACTAAAAGTCAACTCACTTCCATGGCACTTTTGACCTAGGATCAAGTTTCTCCTCAACTTTAGGTGAACATGAAATATGTTCCTCATGATCTTAGCTTTCTAAAAAGACCTAGAAGTCCTTGATATCATTTGTAAAACTCAAGTTATGGCTTTGGCAAGGAAAGGGTATTTTGGGAAGATTTGATTATAGGTCATTTGTTACATAGGCCATTTTCATGCACTTGTGTACCTCAAATGAACTTTCAACCAACATGGAATTTGTTACTAGAGACCTCATTTACACCTTAGTACTCAAGGATCATGTGAATTATGGATGGTTATGGACATGTGGGAGAATTTTCAAGTGAAAAATGAACTTTGAAGTATGATTTAAATTCAATTCATTATAGGACATGTTTATGTCTCATTTTGATCTAATTAATTTCACAATACACTCATGAGTAAAATTGCACAATTGGTTTTGGTACAAGAGGGCAAAAACACATGCATTTTTACTTTTCTTCACAAAGAAGTTTCAAGTTTAAACTTGCAAATTGGATCAAATCAAAGGCCCAAACCAATTCCCATGTCAAATTGAACTTACAAGCTGCAGGTTGGAGTGGTTTTCAGGTGTGTGTGAGAGCATTTCACGTGTGCATGAGAAGCTTGCCATTTTTGAGCATTTTTTAAATTAATCAAATT